AAAAAAAAAAAAAAAAAAAATTGGAAGAGAGGGAAGAAATCCACAGCAAAACAAATAGAGCAAATAGCTGATGATGTTTTAGTTGAATTTTAAACATGAACTGTGCAATTTAAATTTAGCAATGTAACAAATATAACAAAACTTTTTTTTCCCTGTGCTGGAGAAGGAACCCAGGGCCTCACACACGCTAGGCAAGTGCTCTACCACTGAGCTACACCCGCAGCCCTAAAAATACTTTGAATTTAATAACTTTTCATTTCTTCATCTTTTGATTTAAAAAAGAATTAAGCGCTCTCACCCAAACCTGAGGCTTTCCACTCTGACAGCAACTAAGTACAGGACTATAAAGTACTGTAAGTTCCCCAATTGTCTAACTTGACTCTCTGACAGCAAATGGATTTCTGCTCAGCTAGAGTTTTCTGAAAACTAGAGTTTTCTGAAAAAACGCATTTGTTTTTAGTAGGAGGCCACTTAAATCTTACCCACTTGTTTAGCTGTGAGGATTGAAACAAAATGTTTGCTGGCAAAACAAACACTGGTTTTAAAATTCTCCACTTGGGCTGCTGGATAAAACACTTGTTTACTGAAACAAATGTTTTATTTGGAAAACGCCTGCCTGTGTGGATGCTTTCCAAGAAACACACCAGGATGTACCAGGATGATGATGTCACGCCCTTGATCGAAGCTGGCATTTTAGGCAACTTCACGAAGTTGACTCCCAGAGAAGAGAGCAAGGATGGGAAAGCTAAGCTGCTAAAAAAAATCAGCCCCCAAGGTCTAAATCACTCTTACTGGGTCATGAAATAGACCAATTCCACACACAGACACAGCCCAAGCCAATTTCTTTATATAGTCAATGAGTTTTTGTAAATGACATCATGATAATTATAATTAAAAATAATAATTTTTAGAGCCAAACCTCTCTCCTTAGATCCCATCTGTGACTTCTGGTTCTCACATGTGACATGGCATGAAAACCATTTCTCTCTCTTAATAAGATACCTTAGCACCCCGAAATGCCACTGGTAACCAATGGGCCCTGAACTTACGGCGTCTAACTTGAAACCCATCCAAGAAGATTTGATTTCTTAAGCACCCAAAGGCCACAGAAGAAAGGGCAGCCTTGGGGTCCTGGAGTTCATTTCCCACGGAGGCTCCAGTAAAGACCTAATGTTTGACCAAATTAGGTCCCCCTGATAAAGTTTAAGAATTTTTTAGCAACAATTCACAATAGCTAAATGCGGAAGCACCCTAGATGCCCTTCAGTAGATGAATGGATAAAGAAACCGTGGCATATATACACAATGGAATATTACTCAGCATTAAAAGAGAACAAAACTATGGCATTTGCAGGTAAATGGATGGAGTTGGAGAATATCATGCCAAGTGAAGTAAGCCAATCCCCCAAAACCAAAGGCCGAAAATGTTCTCTTTGAGAAGCGGATGCTGATCCAAAATGGGGGGGGGGGCATGGGAAAATGGAGGAACTGTGATTGGGCAAATGGGAAGGAGGGTTCACGGGGGCAGGAAAGATGGTGGAATGAGACAGACATCATTACCCTAGGTACATGTGTGACTGCACATATGGTATGACGCCACATCACGTACACCAGAGAAATGAAAAGTTGTGGTGCAATTGTGTACAATGAATCAAAATGCATTCTGCTGTCATATATACCTAATTAGAATAAATAAAAAAATAAATTTTAAAAAGTCCAAAATAAAGGAGAAAAAATAATTTTTAGCAAAGCCCAGTGTGGTAGTACACGCTTATAATCCCAGTGGCTTGGAAGGCTGAGACAGGAGGATCACAAGTTCAAAGCCAGTCTCAGCAACTTAGTGAGGCCTTAAGCAACTTAACAAGACCCGGTCTCAAAATGAAACATAAAAAGCGCTGGGCATGTGGCTCAGTGGTTAAGCATCCCTGTGTTCAATCCCTAGTACCCCCCACCAAATAATAATTATCAATAGTTTCCTGCTAACATTAGGCTCTAAGGTAAAACAGATCATTCTTATGGTCCAAAATAGTGGTTTCCTGACTTTTAAAAAAAATGCTCCTATTTGTAAAAAACCAATTTGCAGAGGTCCCAGTATATGCGTGTTTTTATTTATAAATTACACGCTACTATTATACAGTATAAAAGATGCAAAAATGGTTATGCAAAGAAAAATGGTTATGCAAAGATGCAAAGAAACGGTTATGGGCATGTCTCCAAGATTCACCTATGGCCAATAAGAACATGAAAAGATGCTCAACCTCATCAGTCATTAGGGAAACGAAAATCAAAACCACAGTGAGATGCCACTTATATTCAATAGGTAGTCTAGAATTTTTTTAAAAATTGGAAAACTCATACATTGCTATGGAATGTAAAATGGTAAAGCCACTGTGGAAAACAGTGGTTCCTCAAAAAGTTAAACAAATTTACTACATGGCCCCCAAATTCTGCTAAGTATATGCCATTCCCCAAAGAATTAAAAACTGGGTCCCAATATTGACAACAGCATTTTCAAAACAGTCAAAGTGTAGAAGCACCCCAAATATCCATCAACAGATGAATGGATAAACAAAGTGTGATATATACAGACAGTGAATATTATCCAGCTATAAAAAGGAATGAAGTCCTGATCCTTGCTGCAGCATAGATGAATCTTGAAAGCAATATGCTAAATAAAAATAAACCAGATTCTAAAGGTCAAATACTGTATGATCCTACTTGTATGAAATATCTAGAATAAGTATAAGACACAGAAAGTAGATTAAAAGTTACCAGGGGCAAAAGGAAAAAAGGAGTTAATTCTTTCTTTCTTTTTTTAGTTGTAGATGGACACAGTAGTTTTATTTATTTATTTCTATTTGGTGCTGAAGATCCAACCCAGTGCCTCACACATGTCAGTTGAGTGCTCCACTAAGCCACAACCCCAGCCCTAAGGAGTTAATTCTTAGTGGAGAATTTTTTTTTTGTACGTGTTTGTGTGTGTGTGTGTGTTTGCTGGAGATTGAACCCAGGGGTACTCAACCACTGAGCTACATTCTCAGATATTTTAATTTTTTTTTTTTTTAATTTTAAGACAGAGTCTTGCTAAGTTGTTGAGGCTGGCCTCAAACTTCTAATCCTCTTGTCTCAGCCTCCTTAGTTGTTGGGATTATAGGTGTGTGCCACCATACCCAGATGGGAGTTAATTCTTTTTGTGTGTATATGTATGTGTGAGGGGTTAATTCTTAATGGTCTATTTTGGGGTGATGAAAAATTTGCTTTGGGTGTTGAAAACAGAGTGCTAACAGTTGCACAACAATGTTAATGTAATTAATGCCACTGAATTATACACTTAAAATAATTTCAACAATAAATTTTATGTTTTATATATATATGTATTTTTTACTTTTAAAATTTTAATAATAAATAGTTTCAAAAGAAAAAAACAAAAATAAGAGTACATCATTACTCCTTGAGCTTGTATTTCAGTTCTACTTTTCATAGATTATTATAATACATTAATATGCTTAAAGTATTTCACTGGTCACCCGCACATATTTATATGCATTGAATATTCTTTTTTCTGTGGCTATCAGTCTCTAATTGCCTTTTTAAATTTTTTTAAAATTTTAATTTGTAATACATGATAGCAGAATGCATTACAATTCATATTACACATAAAGAACACAATTTTTCCTATCTCTGGTTGTACACAAAGTACAATCACATCCTTTGTGTCTTCATACCTGTACTTAGGGTAATATTGACCTTCACATCCAGCCATCTTTCCTGCCCCTGTGCCCCCTCCCTTCCCCTCCCTCCCCTTTTCCCCTTTGCCCTATCTAGATTCATTTACCGCCCCCCCCCCCCATGTTACATATATTTTACCACCAGGAAAAAAACTTTTTTTTAAGGACAATGCTAAAGGAAAAGGCAAAAAAAAAAAAAAATGCAAATTGATATTGTAGCATCTCCTTCTAACACCCCAGTGGGTCACACTGCATGCTACAGGGTGCAGGGTATGAAGGGCAGTTTCCAAAGACAAAGAATTAACAAAAGGGCAGTGGGGGAGAGAGACCATTGGGAAAATTAGTCTGGATTTTGCTGATGCCACAACTCAAAAAGGATTTTATTTTTATCACTAATGGAAAAAGGCCTTTTTGCTGTCATCTTTCCATAGAAATAAAGAGAGACCATCTGGAAGGTCTTAGCATCCCTCACAGGACAGACCTGGAGACCTGAATCATCCAAGTCAAGAAAAAACACCAGGAAAGCCAGCCAGCGAGTGAGTGCCGGTCCCCCCACTGCAATGGCCCACGTGGAACCTCACAAAACACACCCTTGTGCCTTTCCAATCTTTCGCATGGTCTCAGGTAAGACCCAAGTCCAACCTCAAATAATCTTTTTCCAAACTGTTTTCAGAGTCATTTTCAACACCCCCCCCCCAATCCCCACCCAGCCTCAAGAGCATCAATCATGGGGGGAAATGACAGGAAATAATAAAAAGATTAACAGCTCACCATCAAGAAACGCCTATAGTGCCAGGGCTGAAAGTGTCAAGAGTGGGGCTGGCTGAGGACCAAGGTAATCAAAAGTAAAACACACATGAGTTGGAGAGCTAAGCTGACATTTCAGGAGTCACAAAGTCCCGTCGAACACAGGAATGACAAAGCAAAGAGGCGCAGCCACAGAACAATGTATTTCTGTACTACCGTGAAGTCCCCAAATCTCCTAAGCTTTCTTTTCTTTTCTTTCTTTTTTTTTAAATCATGGAGTTTCATTGTACAAATAAGTCTCATGTGGATGGCTGACATTTGATTTCAAAAGTTGAAGTACTTTTCTAGTCAAATGAAAAAGATCTCAGCTTTAAAATAAAAGTTAAAAATCAAGACACGCAAGACCCTCAGGACTGTCCCAATTTGTCTTTTTTCAGAGATCCGTGACGTAGCCGTATGAATTGATTGTACCTTTCCTTTAGCAATGAGTGTTGAAACTCATGACTGTCCTGCATTGGGAAAGGCAAACATTCTAGAACTGAAGTATGAAACAGTTGGTTCGTACCCTTCGAATCAATAGACTGGCCATATCCTATTAAAAATAACTGGTACTCCCAGAATTGACCCTTTACGAGAGCCTTCTCCTCTGAAATACTGCACGACTATGCGATTGCAGGACAAAGTACTTGGAAATGTATGTAAAGTCTGCTTCTGAACAGATTCTAGTAAACTACGCCAGGAACAGACAGGATTATGAACAGGTGAGTGTTCACACTGAATCCACCGTCTCCCAAGTTGTTGTGAGACTCTGAGTTGCCCATGTCAGATAGGATCTACCATTAGAAAAGCTTCCATTGGTGATTAAGTCCTATCACGGAATCTTGGCTTTTAAAAGATGGGTTCTCCCAACCCAGACATGTGTATCATGAATGTTCTTGTTTAAAAACGTTCCATTTTTCGCTCCAGCTCTGATATGGTTTCCCAGCTCTCTTCCCAAGTCTTCTAGCATGCTATATTAAAAAAGTCGCCAAACTGGTTTTCACACATCTTTTCAAGACCGATAAGCAAAAGTTTACCAAAGCAGTGTTTTGAGTAAGATCAACTCCGAGTTAGATTCTCTAAGTGTTCACCAATCCAGTGGTGCTGGTTAGATGGAGGGGTGGTTAAATAAGCTATGAATTTCCAAAGCCGTGAGAGCTATTCTCCCTTGGTAAAACACGAACCCACAACTTCTTTGGAAGCAAAGTTGACATCCTGTTGGACTCACGGCCTTCAAACCTGTTCTGTGGGTGTTATGAATGACTGCGTGCAAACAGTAAGTGATTGTGAAAATAAATTTTATAATTGGAAAAAAAAAAAAAAAGCCCTGGTACTGCTAATACACCTGGGTTGAATAAGAACTTCAGTGAACACCAATCACGTTTCCAGTGTTTTTCTTTTTTGTGATTCTTCAGTTAGACTTGTTGGAGTTAAAATTTGTTTCAATGCATGAGGCCCTGAGTTTGATCCTGTGCACTGAAATTAAAAATATGGCTTCATTTAACAATATGGTAATTTATATGATAATGAATCAGAAGGTCCTTGCTTATTTCCAATATTTTCAGTAGTTGATACCCATAGTATCATAAATAATAATAAGCTGTATCTCACCAGGTAAAGGAGGATAATATAATAATAGTAGCAAATATTACCTACTCCTCAGTGTGTGTCAAGAGAATACTTTCAGGGAGTACAGAAAAGCCAAGAACCTTGGTAACTTAAATTCTGAAAATTCACATTTGACTGTGTACCCTCTCTCGTGTACTCACAGCTTCAAGAATATATATTTTTTCATTTTTTGGTATTGGGGATTGAACCCAGGGCACTTTACCATGGAGCTACATCCCCAGCCCCTTTTAGTTTTTATGTTGAGACAGGGTCTTGCAAAGTTGCTGAGGGTCTTTTTAAACGGCTGAGACTGGCCTTGTGATCCTTCTGCCTCGGCCTCCAGAGCTGTTGGGATTGCAGGTGAGTGCCACCGCACCCAGCTGCTTTAATAAAACTTGAAACTCTTAAGATGCTAGCACTATTTCTGGCTTCTTAAAGGACTCTCAGGCATCAAATCGCCTTTTTCCTCTGTACTGACAGACTCCACAATTAAGCACCATGAAAGGATGTCCTCAGAGAAGCCCATCCTCCAAGAAACCCATCTAGCTACCTTCTCTCAGAAGAGAATATACATGCTGCTAGTATTTAAATGCCAGGTACTTAATACCATTCTCTTTCATTTATGTTTTTTGTTTTTAAGTAACCTGGGTTTCATTTTCTGACATTTTTAGAACACTCCTTTACATTCTTAGTGGATTTTTAAAAACCCAGATTCGATTGCACAACCATGTGAATACATTTAATACCACTGAACTGTACATTTAAACTGTTGAGGCAGGCCAGAGGGTATGGCTCATTTGTGCATACCTCTCATGTGCAAGGCCCTGGGTTCAATTCCCAGCACCAAAAAAAAAAAAAAAAAGGTAAATTTTATGTTATGTATATTTTATTACAATTTAAGAAAGAGGCTTAGATTCTGTCATCTTCCACTGTTCTCTGTTGGAGGGAAAAAGCTCAGTAGTAAAATAACCCACCCTTGGCTTAGACAGTTAAACTTAATGGATAGTTTAAATTTTGAGTTGTTTAGTGGCAGAGAGGAGCAGAAGGGTGGTGGTGTGGTGGGGGGTGGGGGTGGTAAGGATTCTGCCCCTGACATCTTCAGCATCAATTTTTAGTATGAACTTTTAGCTGCCCATTCACCAGGCATGTAATAATACAGACATGGGAGTTCCTCTCTTCATAGCTTAAAAAACAAAAAGAAAGCGAAAAATGAATGATCATTGGTAGCCAGATAATTAGCATCAGGCTAAATGAAACTTGGCTGTGACAAAGTACACAGCTTCTGCTCAACAGGACAGACATTTCTCTTCTGACAAGAAAGAGAGAGACAGCCAGCTATGCCTTGGAAGGCATCCACAGGCATCCCCTTTTAGAAATCCAACCACAAATTTCCAACCATCCTCGTATCTTTACACTGGAAGACCTTGTAGGCTTGCAGACCGCAGCTTGCCTTGCCTGGCTTGGGACTACTGAGCTTCCTTGCAGAGGATCAGCCAGACAGTCTGCTCCTGAGAACACTGCCAAATACCACACCCGGGTCTGAGTACCCAGAGGTACAGGAAGTGGTCTGCCCGGAGCCCAGGTGATTGCATCATCCCAGGATGATCCCATGTACACAGTTTGAGTCACTCCCCCACCACACAGAGCTCTCAAAACTCCACCTCCTTGCAACCTAGCAGGGCAGAGGACTGGGCCCATCCATCTACTCTTCCAGTCCAGCGCTAAATTTGGAAAGCAGCTCATCTGGATACAAACAACTTCCAGCAGGGCCTATCAATGACTGTCCATCAGATACAAAAGCAAAGGACAGGCTGCAAGAAACACATGGAAAATTAGAACTGTCTTGCTCTCCCTTTGAAGGACACAGGTCACCTAGGAGGAGGTGAGGTTCCAGGCTGGACTATTGATTGCTAGTCCAGAAGATTCTGATGTGGGGCGAGGCCCTTTATCTGATGAGCCAGGTTTGGGAACCACCAGGTTTAAGCGCTTTGGTTAGAACAGTGCTGAGTCAGAATATGAGCTCCAGGAATGACTAACTAGAGGAAGGAGAAGTTTCAAAATTATATTTAGAAGCTTTGTGGATGCTCCCTAAAAACTGGTCCCTTGTCAACAGGTTAAAATTTAGGCGTTCATTTATACCTGGTCTACCAATCACCTGACCCATCCATCCTCCCTTAGTCACTCAAACTCAGCTCCGATCATGACCTTGACCTTTGGTTTCTCAATTCAGTCCTTCAATTGACCTTGTACCCTGGCTTCCTGTTTCTGTTTCCCTGGATAATCCTACTTTTCAAGGAGCCTAGATTCTTCTCAGTGACCTTGGATTGCTCAAGTCCACTGCCCTCCACATCCAAATGCTATAAAATATTGTTGATTTTTCTTTCACAAAAAAGCACAAAACACTGCTTTCCAACCAATTCCCATTGATACTACATTTACCCAGGCCCCCTTGAATCTCTGCAAAACTCACTGGCCTTAAACTCCCACTCCAAACCAACCCACAAGATTAACCTTCCCCAAACCCAGCTTTGACTTTGTACAGGCATCATCCCAGCATGATTCACAGATACTGTGGGTTTGATTCCAGACCATGATGATAAAGTAAGCCACACAAACATTTGGGTTCTCAATGCATGACAAGTTATGTTGATAACTGATGCTGTAGTTGTGTGCATCATGTCTGAAGAGGCATACCTTAACTACAAATATTTTACAGCTAAAAAATACTAACAATCATCTGAGCTATTGGCTAGACTTACTTGACAATGGTTGCCACAAACCTTCAATTTTCAAAAAAACTTAAAAGCAAGCCAGCAATATCTATGAAGCACAATAAAAAGTGCAATAAAATGAGCTCTGCCTTATTTCTCTCACTCAAAATCCTTTCATAATTCCCCATTACCTGCAGATAAAAATCCTAATACGAAGGTTGGCATTCATGGTCGCTAATTGGCCTGGCCCTAATCTCTCATTCAAATGGCAAATTTCAAACTTGATCCATCTTTTTTCTAGCAAAATGAATCTACTCGAATTTGCTAAGTGTGCCCCACCACTTCCTGCTTCTTGGCTTATCTCACCAGGCTTGTAACACTGAAAAGGCCTTTTCCTCTCCAACTATAAAAACCACGTACATGCTCTAAGGACTAAGTTCAAGTCCTACAACCTCTCTCTGAAGCACTTCCTGATGGCTGGCACCTGGCAGCCACCCTCCCAGAATATGGCCAGCACCCTGTGATACCCAAGTCCTTCCTAAGCAAGGGCGTGCCTTTTCTCCTCTCCCTTCCTGGTACCCTCTGTATTCTCCACCTTTGACCAAGCTGGGTTGACAGCTGGGTTCTTGGCATTCCACTGAGGCCCTCAGCTCAGCCCACTGTGTTCTCTGTCCCTTCTGGAAGTTACTATGGTTCTTTTTTTTCTGACCCCCCCCCCTTATGGACAATCATTCATATACTGGTTGGCAGGCAATATCTTTTATTCTTCTACAGAATCAATACAAGTTTACTGTCAACAGTTTAGAGAATAAATAGAAGCAAGAAGAACAAAGTTTTCAAAAGTCTCCCATTCCTCTATTTCTCAACTCATTCTGACTGTAGTGTATGACTACACCATCCCTCTGACGCACATATGTACGTATTTTTTATTGGTGTTTTAACTTAACTCCTCAACAGTTGAACTTCTTACTATATATTTGTAATTTAACCGTCACCTCCAACTAGATCTTATTAGACTCAACTCTTAGGAACATGCATAGGCTTCTCGGCAATTCCTCCAGTGCTTGACAGAGCTCTGTACAGTGTGGGTGGCTCAGATGTTTCAAACATATGCTCATTCAAAAATATTTTGGAGGTATCAACGAGTAAATGGCTCAAGAAAGCCTGTTATACATAGGGGATTTCTTAAAAAGTGTCCCAAAATGTATACATCGTGTTTTAAATATATAAGAATACAATGTTAAGAACCCTGTTGTTAACCATTTCTTAACAGATGTTCATTCCTTAACTTGCTTGCTTTCTTTTCTTTTTTGGGGGGTGGGTGGGGGGTGGGGGGAATTAAACCCAGAGATGCTTTACCATTGAGCTACATCCTCAGCTCTTTTATTTATTTATTTTATGTA